TCTTCATATGACTCAGAATGAGAAAAAACCTCTTTTTCCCAGGCCATAGACCTCCTAAGACACCTGTCTCTTTTAAAGAAAGGAGAAACAAGCATCCTTCGCCCAGAAACTCTGGATCCAGAGAGTCTCTCTCAAATCCCTCCAGTAACCCACGTGGAGACTTTCCCTACTGCTTCCTGCAACACTGATCTCGGTGACATTTCTCTCTTTTTTTGTTCCCAACCACTTCTTACCTCCATTGCTCCTGGAGCAGTTTCTCTCTGGAGAGTTTCTCCAAGCCCATCACAAAAGCCCCACCTTCCACCAGGAGATGCAGCCCCAGGCATCTCCACTCACATTAGCTGTGTGAAACAGGAGGGGAAGGGGTGATCTGTGGCCCGGAACAACCCCTGGTTTTCACACATCTCAGCGATGACACTGGCTTTTTCCTTCTCCTCCAGGAAGACTTTTGACAATAACACTCCCGTAGGTTAGCAGCAGGCCTGGCCCTGGTTTTATTGTCGAGCTGGGTTCTGTTTGAACCGCGGCGCATTCCATTCTCCATTTAGTTTGGGACAAACCAGAGAGGGAATGTACCGTGAACAGAACAGAACGCCGCTCTCAGGAGGAAAGAGACTGAGTTGCAGACCTCTGGCCAAATTAAATTCATCTTTGCTACCTCCACCTCCAGATTATGCCTCACTCATTAACTAGTTCTATTCAGCTTAAAAAGGGTAAAAGGGCAAAGTTGGAAGCCAAGCCGTAACTAGAGGCAACTTTGTGGTGATGGTCAAGTCCCCCATGTTTGGCCAGGAGTGACGCAGCCAGGGCTGTGCCTAAGAACTCTGCTTCTTTTGTAAGAAGTAGAGAAATGACTGAACAATAGATATACATCATTATCACGAAACATGTAAATAGATGTTTTGCTTGCTGTCTGACGTTGCATGCGCAGAGAACTTGAACTATATTGCGTGGCTGATTCTGTCTGAGAGTGTGGATGGCCTTATTAGGAAAAGGTGGTGCTTTGTTGTGAAGGGCAGTTTCAAAGGAACACAGGCGTCTCTTTCTCTCTCTCTCTCTCTCTCCTGGGAGAACTGTAATGAGTGAAAAGGACTTTCTTTAGTGAGTAGATTCTAACAATTCAGTGTGAGAGTAGGGACCCCACATATTTTGTGGTTCCGGAACCAGGCCCTGGTTTGAAATAACTCATACAATCTATATGAAGCTTTTTTTTTATCAGCCCAGGCTGATAATTCCAACAGTCCTGGACGTTTTCACATTTGTCTGTTCAATTTCAAAGCTGAACTCATCCTCTGAAGATGGTGCCAAGCTTAGAGCAATATTACCAGCCACCTCTGAGAAAGATACATCAATAAAGAAGACTTTTTTCCAGCCTGGGTGGACCCAGAAAAAACAAAAACCTCTTTTCTAGCTCTCTACTATGTAAGGCATACTTTTAAAAACATATATGTGTACGTATTTTAGATTTTAAAACAATCACTAACTTAAAGGAAGTAACAAGTACAGTACAAATAATTCTTCCCCTTAGACTATTTACGAGGAAGTTTCTAATCCGATGCCCTATCCCCCCCAAACACAAGCAAGGACATTCTCCTCCACAACCATTATACAACCTTGCAAAGCAGGAAGTTAACAGTGATGCATTACTACCTCCTAATCCTCAGCCTGATTAAAATTTCGCCACTTACCCTAATGTTTTCTTGGTAGCGAAAGGAGACAGTTTGGAATCACACATTGCTTTCTGCTGTCATGTCTCTTTAGTTTCCTTGCATCTGGAACATTCCTCAGGCTTTCCTTGACTCTCATGACTTGACAGCTTTGAAGATGACAGTCCGGGTCGTTTATAGAATGGCTCTGAGTCTGGGTTTGCCTGATGTTCTCTCATGATGAAATTCAGGTTCTGTGTATCTGGCAAGAGTATCACAGAAGTGATGCTGTGTTTTTCTCACTGCGTCTTATCAGTTCATGATTTCAGTTTGTCTTGTTACTGGGGATGTTCACTTTGATCCCTTGATGACGTGATGTCTGTCAGACCCTTTTTTCCCCTTTGTAATCAGTAAGTATTTTAAGGGAAGTGATTTGAAACTAAAGATATTACTTTTGTATTTAACGAAGAGTCAGTATTTTAACTCAGCTAAGACTTTGGAGACGTAAGTTCCAGATCTGGTAGAAAAGAGGCAAAACAGCTCTCCCAAAGCAGAGACCCATTGCAGAGTACCCTGGAAGAGGGACACGAGTGGTGTTTCCCAAGAAACTCCTAGGAGTGGCGAATTGTCTGAATCCCTGGAGGTAACTAATGGAGAGGTGTTTGTAGGCGGATGGCATCATGGGAAAACTTCTTTGTCACTGTTAGTTTCCACCTGGACTCGTGGTACAAGATGGGGCACTTTACTGTGATGGTGTTGTGTGACTGTTGGCTTAGATTTGCCCTGTTCTTAACTCACAACAGCCTTCCAGGGGTCAGGAATTGGACTTGAAGAACTTTCAGAGGATGTCTGAAATCACAGGGCCAAGAAATTGATGAGTTTTCTGGCCAGGAATGACAGTATTGAGTCCCTTGTGGGACATCTTTTTACTAGGAAGCCACTAGACATTGGATAAAGTGGCATGACCTAGACATGGTAGCTAATAAGTTTTTAATGTCCTGTCCTATAGAATATCCTAGATAAAGGTAATGCTAATATCATTGTCAATTCAAAACATGAGGTCAATGGATGTTGAACGACGAGCCCTTCAGCCTTACAGCCAGTGCCTGAAGTCACGTTTCCTGACTCCCAGCTCTTGGGGAAGACCCTGTCAGTGGAAGTCAGAGACTGGAGACCCTTCCTCACAACACAGCCACCACCCCTTGAGGGAGGGTTCTCTTGGCTCCCACGGTCACTCTCTGAAATTGCTCCCATGCCCATACTTGCTGTAATTCCCTGGGAGCGTCATTTCCCACCTGTTATTCACGTGTCATACACAGTGGATCCAAGACCAGAACTTGTTCATCATTACAAGACTGACCCTTACAGAAATATATTGACTGTGACTGATACAATGTATTATTACAATAAACCCTTACAGAAATATATTGACTGTGACTGATACAATGTATTATTACAATAAACATTATCATAAGCCATCTTACTTAATAAAACCCCTTTAGAACCCAGAACCTTATTTGCCAGAATTGATTTTGATTATTTGGTTGGATATTTTTTCCGTATGAAGACATTTTGATTGGCCTAAAATTCTCAGAGACTTCTTTACTTGCTCTCTTATAATAAAAGGTACCAGCTTGAAACTTTCCTTGTTTTACCAACCTTGTTAGTCTTACGAATACTCAATATCTACCTTTAGCGGTTCTGACTTGGTTTTGATTATTTCCTAAAGATCTTGAATAAATTAGAAGACTTCTGCACATTTTTCAACTTGCATTTCTCCAATCTTCAAAAAACTTCCAGGATTCTACTCCATAATATGTCTAAATGTATGTAATATATATAAATGTATTGATACATTGATGTGGATATAGGTATATGTATAAAATATTCCAGGGGATCTAGAGGGTACCACATGTTTTCTATAAGGCATAATGGCCGTACAACCAAAATTTTGAGAGGCAACCACAATTTCAGACATCATGCTTTCCTGTTGACTCAGGTTCAAAATTTCTCCCCAGAAGAATTTAAACATAACATAAGAAGGTTGAAGGACATATGAGATTCCCCTGCTCTATGGAGCTGTAGAGGTAGGAAGAAAACTGGGATGAGTAGGGACCAGTGGAGGGGGGATGAGCATTGATGAGAAAAGGGAAGACGTACAGGCTGATAAGTCAAGACAGATCAGACTAGAGATACAAGGAGGAGCGGTTGGGAAGGAAGGAGCCCCCGGAAACAGAGGCCACTCCAGAAATAGACACAAAAATACCATAGCTGGGGAAGGCCGAAGCTGCAAGAAGATGAGCGTGGGCATCCTCTGTGTCCAGCTGGAATAAAGCCCTTGGGGTCAGTGGTTCTCACCCGTTCCCTGCCCTCCCCCACCCCAGCTGATTCTCCTGTTGCTGCCATGAGTGAGAACCACTGGCTTATTAGGCAACACCTTTAATTCTACCGGAATGGTTAATCCCTGACGGCTAATGATGTTGAACATCTTTTCATGTGTTTATTTTCCATCTGTATGTACTCTTTGGTAAAATGGCTCTTTGTATCCTTTGCCTATTTTCTAATTGGATTTTTTGTTTTATACTGTTAAATTTTGAGAATTCTCTCTCTATATTCTAGATACTAGACCTTTGTTGGATATGTGGTCTACAAATATTTTCTCTATGTATCTTGTCTTTTCATCCTCTTAACAGGGTGTCTCAAAAAGCCAAAGATTCTAATTTTGATGAAGCCCAATTCATCCATTTCTCTCTTTTATGGATCGAGCTTTGGCTGTTAAGTCTGAGAACTCTTTGCCCAGCTCTAAATCCCAAAGATTCTTCCCATGTTTTTAAAGAGGTTTAAAAACTCCCATGTTTTAAAAAAAAATCACAGTTTTATGTTTTACATTTAAGTCCACTATGTTTCTGGAGTTGATTTTCATATAAAGCTAAAGACTTAGGATGAGGTTCATCTTTTTGCTTTTGGATACCCAGTGGCTCTGGCACCATTTGTCAAAAGGTCTATCTTTCCCCCATTGACCAGTTTTTGCATCTTTGTAAAAAATCAGTTGGGCACACCTGTATGAGCCTATGTCTGGGCTCTATTCTATCCCACTGGTCTGTGTGTTTATCTCTGTGCCAACACCACTGCCTTGACTACTGTCCCTATACAGTGAATCTTGAAACCACGTATATACTGATTCCTCTTGCTTTACTCTTCTTTTTCAAAATTATTTTAGCTATTCTATTTTCTTTGCCTTTCCATACAAAATTTTAGAATAATCCTGTCTATATCTACAAAAAATCTTGCTGGGATTTTGACAGGAAAAAAGTAAGGCTGTTTTTTGTGCTCTGAAATGTCCTTTGGTTCCAGGACCTGCTGAGGATGGAATCTTGGCCCCATGACCTCATTCCCATCTCGCTGCTGGTTGCCGTTGTTGTTTTTTAAAAACCTCCTTTCCTCTGTTCTCAAGTTTCCTGCCTCCCAAACACATGTCAACATCAGGAGTGACACAGCCGTGCAGCTGGGAAGCCCGTGAAGCTGATGACTCAGGATGACGGAAATAAACACACTTTGTAGCACCGGCGCCCGCAGTCACAGGCTGCTGTCACCCTCTCCACCCCATCCTGGACCTTCTTCCTTTTTTCCTTCTCCAGGATCCTTTCCTGTTGTCTTGTGCAGCCCGATGTATCCCTCACTCCGTTTTCTGCCTGTATTATTGAACATCCCCTGTCTGGGAGAAACTTTCCAACAGTTGCCTTCTTCAAAAAGAACCAGAGCAGGTATACAAGGAATGGAATATACAGACAGGTCTGGGGACCCTGACCTGGACACAGGATCTGGTCACCGAAGCATTACCTGGGAAGTCTCCAGCTTGGCTGTCCTTCCTCTCCAGGGGGAGGTTGGTAATACGTGGATGTCCTGTCACTCTTCTAGGCTCTTCTTCTGAGATCCAGAGAGCACATGGAGCCCCTCCCACTCCAACAAGCAGCTTGAGCCCCCTGAGCCCCCGCATGCGGGTGGCTGCGGAGAGGCTGAGCCCCGGGGGTTGTGTGTTCTGTCTGCAACACACCATTTGGGTTGATTCTGGGAAAAGACGTAAACAAATCTCCCAAAGAAAAAAGAGTTGCAGCTGCACTATCTTACCTACCGAGAAGCACACCAGCTGGATCTTGCCTCTGCGCCTGTGTCACTGTTCCCCGCTTCCACTTCTCTGGCTTGGGAGCTCCAGTGGGGAGTGCGTTGGGCGATAAGGTCAGAGGAGCCCAGGTCTGGTGCAGTGCCCTTCCTGACAGCCACGTGACCTTGGGCTAATCACTTTTGTCTTTGTGGATTAAAAATAATGGGGTAGGGATACTAGTTCTGCAATCAATTATTCCCTAAATGGTATCAAAGAATTATTTATAATTTTGTTGGGTGTGATCATGACATCGTGAAAATAATAATGGTATCCGGGAATTGCTTCAGAATACTCTAATACAAAAGAAAAAGAGGGGAGGTAGAGACAAATGAAACAGGGTTGGCAAAGTGTTGATAAGGGTTGAAGGAGCTTTCTGGGGGGGCAATATCGTCTACTCTCTACTTTTGTGTTTGAAGTTTTCCATAATCAAAAATGAAAAGAGTCAACCATTTCACATTCTAGTAGCACCAACAAGATGGTGGACAGTAATACCCTTTGGAAACAGAGTCTTGCTATAGAAGTGCTTGTCTTCACACGGGTGCTCTAACTGAATAACTGTGTGAGGGTGCCTCTCTCTCATTGGTTGAATTTGGCTGTAAGAACAGTTGCATGTCCAGGCAGTAAACCCATTCTCACTGCCCCTGTCACCAGCTCTCCAAGTAAAGGAAAGATCAGGAACCTCTTGGAGGGCAGAAAGTAGACTTGTGGTCCATCCCAAGCCGGTCTCAGTGGCTTCTCTCTCTTTTTCATGTGTGGTGTGCTCTCCACCCCAAGTTCATGGCTGCCTGTCATTTCCTCTTAGATCTTGTGCCTCCTTTCTCTCGGGGAGACTTTGCAGTTTCCTCCTCCCCTGGATTCTCCTTGCTCTGGTCCTCGGATTCAAGAGAGGCAGAGCAGATGGACGAGGAGGATACTTGGACACAGAGAGTTGAGTCAGGCCAATGGCAGGGGTCAAGGTCAGATCACCTGCACCTTCTGCCCGGGCAGAGGTCCCCGGGCTGCCATCAGGCAATGCAGGCTGGTCAGTGTCACTGGTTCTGAGCTCTAGGACAGGACCATTCTGGGTGTTGTTTCTACAGAAGATGACAAAGACAGATCCCTTGTCCCAAGGAACGCATGTCTGGTGGTGGAGAAAGGCAGATAAACAGATGGTTACGGAATCACATTCCAGGGTTAGGCATATGTAGAGAGGATGACTAGGGTCTTAGACAAGATGCTCTAATGTAGCCTCTGGGTGTTTAGATGGTGGGCGAGGTGAGAAGCCATGTAGTGATCAGCTTCCCAGAAATGCTGACACCAGAACTCAGTGTTGAAAGAGAAGCAGCTGGTGAGTAGAAGGAATTCCACAGCAGATGTGAGGGGCGCCTCAACAGACAGACACACGTCTTCTTCCGACCTTTCTGTGGCCCTCCTCTGGGAAGAATTCTGCAACCAAACCCCAAATCCCCGCGTCAGACAGCAAGAGCACTAACTCACGTGCTTCCTCTACATGAACCTTTTAACAAGGAGGTTGTTAACAAGTGATAGGTGATTGTAGAACCACAAGAGGGTCTGGGTAGGTTTACAGAAAGGAGAACGAAGGATGTTTTTCCATGCCGGTCAGGAAAGAAGTAGATGGCCCTTTGTCCGTACCATCCATCCAGGATGAAGGAGATTTTCAAACATTGTAGGTTCTTTGTGTTACCCTCTTCCACACACAGGAAATCCTGTTTGTGTTCTGGGTCCAGTTTAATGCCCATCACTCCCATTTCCTGTGTTTATCTTGGATGATTGAGACTTGTTGTAATTATCCTTCTTTTAATGTAGAGCCTATTATCTTATCCACATTAGTATTGTTGGTTCATTATTGATAAGCTTGATAAAAGACAAATAGAACAGAATCATTAAAAATATTAACTTACTACCAAAGGCTGGCCCTTCTCTGGAGAGCTGTAAGCATTTTGAGCTTGCTTTTGATCAGTGTGCTTGCATGTAGATATCTTTACTTCCTGTTCCCGAGAGGTCTGTCCTTGAATTCCCTTTCCTTCTATCTGCGCCCAACCAGGTGGTCTCATCTACTCTCCCGCCTGCATCTCTGTCAGTGTCTCCCAGTGATAGGTCCTTAGCTTTTCCCCTCTTTCCTGAGTTCCAGACCTATCTGTCCAACCTGTACCGGACATCTCTGCTCGAATGTTCCATGGGCGCCCCAGACTTGTATGTGCCACCTCGAACTTGCTCCATGTCTTATGCTGTCCAGTACCAGGCACTCAGCCCCCGTGGGAGACACCTGGGAGCCATGCTGGGCCGCCCCCTGTAGGTTGATCCCCTCTCCACCCCCTTCCAATCCCTCTCCAGGGCTGTCCTCACACTTCAGATGGGGCGACTTCCCCTTGGGCCATTGGCATCTCTTACTTCACTTCCTGCCACTCTTCTCTCGCCTCCTGAATTCATCACTGCCACTGCTTCCAAGCAATTCCTTAAAAACCTCTATCACTTCTCTGCTTTAAATAAACCCATTGGCTTTCCGCTGCTTCAGGATAAGTCCAAATTCTTTACCCAGATGCAAGGCCTTTCACACTCAGGCCCCAGTCCATCCTTCCATCCTCACCCTGAACTCTCCATCATCAGACCAGCAGCTCTGGTCTTCCTGACCCTCCGCCATTCACTCCCTTATTGATTCCTCTCCCCGAATCCTCTTAGTCTTCTTATTTTTGTGTGTTATAAGAAGAAAAAAATTACACTAGGCAATTCCCGGGACTCCTGCCTGTTTCATTCTTTCATTTATTCCTAAGTTCAACAAACGTTTACTGAGCATCTACTGTATGGCAGGCATAGATCTAGGCTGCAGGGATACAGCAGTTACCAGGATAGGAAACCCCTGCCCCGTGGAGCTTACATGCTAGTGGGGGAGAGACAAAAACAAGCACAAAGAAAAACCAGGAATGTGTTGCACTGTGGTGAGCACCGCATAGACAAATAAAGCAGAGGAGACAGGTGGAGTGAAGGAGGTGAAGGAGTTTTGATTGTTTCTCCCCTTTCCACAGTGTGGGCACAGGTGGGATTTTCCGGTCTGTATTAGTTTCCTAGGGCTGTCGTAACAAAGTGCCACAAACTTGGTGGCTGAAAACAACAAAAATTTATTCTCTCCCAGTTCTGGAGGCTAGAAGTCCAAAATTGAGATGTCAGCAGAACGACATTCCCGGCGAAGTCTCTAGAGGAGGATCCTTCCCTACTACTTCCGGCTTCTGGTGGCCTCGCATCCCTTGGCTTGTGGCAGCCTCCCTCCAGTCCCTGCTTTCCATCTTCACACCACCTTATTCTTACAAGGATACCAGTCGTTAGACTTAGAGGCCGCCCTGAAGCCAAGATTATTGCCCCTGGGAATTCTTAACTAATGACATCTGCAAAGACGCTGTTCTAACTTAGGTCCCATTCTGAGGTTCCAGATGGACATGCTTTTAGGGGGACACAGTTCAAACCACTGTACTGTCTACGTAGTGAGTGGAGATGGGCTTGCTCTTACCTCCACAAAGGAAATGTCGAATTTAAAATGAAATAAAGCAGGGGCTTCCCTGGTGGCACAGTGGTTAAGACTCTGTGCTCCCAATGCAGGGGGCCCAGGTTCGATCCCTGGTCCGGGAACTAGATCTCACATGCATGCCACAACTAAGAGTTCACATGCAACAACTAAGGAGCTGGTGAGCTGCAACTATGGAGCCCATGTGCCACAACTAAAGAGCCCATGTGCTGCAACAAAGAAGCCCGTGAGCCATAACTAAGGAGACTTCCTGCTGCAACTAAGACCCAACACAACCAAAATAAAATAAATAAATATTTTTTAAAAAAAAGAATGGAGGAGAGACATTAAAATATTAAAAAATAAATAGGGGATTCCCTGGTGGTGCAGTGGTTAAGACTACATGCTCCCAATGCAGGGGACACGGGTTCGAGCCCTGGTCCGGGTAGATCCCACGTGCCGCAGAGCAACTAAGCCCATGCACCACAACTACTGAACCTGCACTTTAGAGCCGCAAGTCACACTACTGAGCCCATGTGCCACAACTACTGAAGCCCACGCGCCTAGAGCCTGTGCTCCACAGCAAGAGAAACCACCACAATGAGGAGCCTACACACCATAACAAAGAGTAGCCCCCACTCGACACAACTAGAGAAAGCCTACATGCAGCAACAAAGACCCAACGTGGCAAAAAAAAAAAAGAAATAAAGCATAAATATGATTTTGAAGTAAAATTCTTCTCTGCCTATTTAATTGTTTTCTTTTGGGTTCTGGAGTAACTCAACCGGCCTTCACTGCAGAGGCTGGGGACTGTCCAAGATGCTTGAGGTGACCGCCATCCACCCAAAATCCCTTCATCATGCCGGGATGTTTTACATATTTCGTCAGCTATGCTTTTGACCACGGAGGTGAAAGGAAGAAGAAAAACAAGAAACAGCAAGAACAGCTAGAACAGCTAGTGGGGCATCAGCACAGGACTCTGGAGAGGCCCTGCATTCTGCTTCCTTCAGCGTCACCTGGACATCTGTCACATCATCAGCCCTTTGGGGAGGCAGTTAGAGGAGAGGGTTGTGGTGGTCAGAAGCTGAACTTTTAATCACTTCAATTTTTCCTACGAACAGGGGTAAAAATGTCTCACATAACCATAGCTAATTGAGCACAATAATTTATTGAGCACGTGCTGTGTTGTATACGAATGGTCTTCTTTAATCCTCACAACAAACTTACAAGGTAGGTATTATTATTCCCATTTAATAGAAAAAACCACTGAGGCTCAGATAAGATTTCGTGTGATCCACTCTCAGCAGCGAATGCACAAACATCAAAGAATCACTGTGGCTGTCCATTTGCAGACTGGTGACACGTGGGTAGTGACTCTTTGGTCCATTTACAGACTGGTGACACGTGGGTAGTGATTCTTTGGAGAAAGTACTTATACTTCTAAGCATTTGTTGACCTCACAGTCTTAAAATTAAATCGAGACGTTTCTACGACACCTATTTCCAACTTAATACAGTTCATAGAAGTGTTTATAAGAATCGTGCTTGTTTCTGAGTTTGTTTATAAGAATCGCGCTTGTTTACTTAATTGGTGACTTTGCCACATTTTTGGAGTATTCTTTTGCTTAAAGTTTTTTTTTTTTAATGTAAACATGGTTAAACAAAGCATCAGACTCTGAAGAACTGTAGAGGAAACGCTTATGAAATAGGAAAGGAGCCCTAGGACACAGCCCCAAACCAGCAGAGGATCCTGGAGAATGAGAAGAATACTCAGAAAGAGGCAAGAAGGATGATATGGGGTGGGATTCAACACAGGCAAGTTCCAGGTGAGAACATCCTGTGAAATGTATCTAAATTGAATTATGGTACTAGATAAAGGTATAGAGGGGAATGAACCTTGGGTATCATCCATTATCCTGTGGAATTAATAAACGATCTAATACCCTCTAAAAAAGCCATCAACCAGGAAAACCCCTGGCATGGGGAATGTGGGTTCTAAATGTGAGACCACAGCTTGAAACCTTAAGAACGGAGATGAATGCGTTGCAGACACTCCCTTGAGGTCGTCGTGATGGGAAGGTTTTACCCAAGCCTGGTTTGGGAACACTCACAAGAGGGCTTTACGTACCAAGCAACAAAATCTACAGCAATCATCATAGAGTCGATATTTTATAATAACTGTGAGTTAAGCTTTATATAAGCTTTATATAAGCTTTATAATAACTGGAGTCTAAGCTTTAAAAAGTGTGAATCACTATATTGTACACCTGTGACTTATATAATATTGTATATCAACTATACTTCAATTAAGAAAAAAAAAACTACAGCAGTTATGCTCGAGCCCTCCTAGAGCTGGTCTTCACATCAAGGACATCATTCTGGTGCTTGGATTCTTTCTGTGTTTCATCTGAGAAAAAGTGGCTGTTTATCATGCTAGCAATAAAATAGATGAACAAGAGTGAGGTGCATTAATACTTCATCAATACCTGCTTGACCATCCTCTGCTCATGTAGAGTGGCCAGGAATTTTCCATCTGCCTTTGACCAGGATGCCTTGAACGTTGGGGTGGCATCTGCTGGACTGAAGTTGGGAGTCCTCTGCTAGTGCGCCTATTTTCAACGTGTCTGCTGAGCCTGCTTCCCTTCTTAGTTAAATTTAGTCATCCTGGGGACTTCTCTGGTGGCACTGTGGTTAAGAACCCACCTGCCAATGCAGGGGACATGGGTTCGAGCCCTGGTCCGGGAAGATCCCACATGCCGTGGAGCAGCTAAGCCCGTGCGCCACAACTACTGAGCCTGTGCTCTAGAGCCCGCGAGCCACAACTACTGAGCCCATGAGCCACAACTACTGAAGCCTGCATGCCACAACTACTGAAGACCGTGCACTGCAACAAAGAGAAGCCACCACAATGAGAACACCACACACCACAACGAAGAGTAGCCCCCGCTTGCTGCAACTAGAGAAAGCCCGCATGCAACAACGAAGACCCAACGCAGCCAAAAACAAACAAATAAATAAATAAATTTATTTTAAAAAACTTTTAGTCATCCTGATTGAACAATCTCCCACCTCCACAATTCAGGCAACTGGCAAGATTAGTTAGCTTCTAAAAGTATTTAAGTTTTTTGTAGGAATATGCCTCTTAGAGGAAAAAGAAAAACACAGATTTTCCAACCTCAAAGTTTTCTGATTTTAACTACCTACACAGTAATTTTTTTAAGTTTAATTTTGCAAAGAAGAAAGCATTCTAGATGAATGCATTCAAAGGGACTTAAAGCATCTACTTCACAAAGAAAGAGATCTAGTGTTAGCAAACATTAAACACTTTTAAAACTTAGAAAGCACCATAATATCTGGAGGCGTCTGCTGAGTCACCTCACCCTGACAGGTGACAAAGTCACCCGCAGCCTGTTGTCTGGGTGCCCTGCTCCCAGGGCAAAGGCCTGGCCTCCAGTTGTTAGCATCTGCATCTCTGCCTGAGAGCGTATCTGGCAGCTGGAGACCATTGTGTCCTCCCGCAAAGCAGACTGGAAGTTCTGGAGACATGAGAACCCTGGGGAGAAGCTCTCAACAGGACACTGCCAGAAGCCAGTGTGTAAATACCCCAGCTCCTTGCCCCTTGGATGCAATTACCCTGGAGAGTGTCTCACTCTGGGCCCCCAGGGTCCCTGGCAGTGTAATATGCGGTGATGATCTGCCTGAAGCCACACGTCTTCCCTGCATCCCTCACTTCTCCCTAGTCCGCTGTCTCTCCTTCACCTTGTAACTAAGCTGCCTGTATTCACATTCTCGTATTTCAGGGCAGCTTCTGGAGGAACCCAGTCTAAGACAATGCAACTGCCTCTGATAATTCATATTTAAGCTGGAATCAAACAACTTCTAGTTCTTATAGAACCGAGACCTAAGTAAGTTTCAGTATGCTCAATCCTCGGCAAAATGTTTGACTTTAAATGGTCGCTCGTGGCTCCTGCTAAAATCTAACCGTGTCTGTTTAAAAGCGTCCGTGTCTTCTTGCTGACTGGCTCCTTCGTAAAGTATTTCTGGGCACTGGAAACCACCCTCATGCCACCTCATGTCTTAACTGGGACAGAGAATTCTGAATGTCACTAAGCGGCTTCATAGTTACCAGGAGGTGATATTGATTGTACGGGACACAAGCCTCTTGAGATTTGCTCCCTCCTCTTCTCTCTCTCCCACTTCCTCTCTCCCTCCGTCCTCTCTGTTGGAACCCCAAGTCCCTTTTCTTTCAGACTTGTACCAAATACCAAGTCCCAGGGCCTGGAATCTGACTTTCGGGTAGCCATTGGCACACAGGAAAGTGTAAGGTGTAAGGTCCCGATAGATGGATGGATGAGATAGTGCTGCAGGGAGAGGGGGTGGGAGGGAGCCGGGCAGACACCACCACCCCTGCGTCTCTTCCGGGGATCATTCTGAGATGTGACTCCCCTGCAGACCCTTCCAGAGAAGCCCCGAGTGCCCCATGAACAAGCTCCCATGCGACCTGCTGCGTCTAAGGCTTGTGGTACAGTGGACCACGTCGCTGCCCTGCATCCCTCCCACCTCACAGCCCGCTGCCCTGCCGCCCAGTGCTTTGCACTTGCTCTTCGCAGACAAGTGTCCACACCTAGATCCCGCCTTAGCCTCTGCTTTCTAGAGGATCCCAAGGCTGTGATGGTGACCTAATCCTCTCACATGAGTTCTTTTTCCACATCTGTTTCAGGCATGTTTTGTCTCCAGAATTAACTTGTATCATGGCCACTGTTAACTTCTGGACTGTTTCATTTGGATTCTATTCTTATTTGGGTTGAAGTGTAGTTAGAAGGTACTTGAAGCACATTAAAGAAGATTTATAGCGCTTCAGATTTTTAAAACTCTGGATTCCTTTAGTCAGGCATCACCCACAGGTTCAGCTCCAGACCAATTTGCCAGTTGACTTGACACATTTTAGGACGTTTGCTGATTCATCAGGGATTCATTTGGGAGCTTTGGTTTCCGATGTAAAGTGAGACATAGGATGACCAAGTTTATGGTGAGAATCTCATATTCCTGTTGTGAGGTTTAAATGAATTAAATAGCATTTTGAAAATATA